TGGCAGAATCGCTGGAGGACCTAAGCACTATGCTCAATGACCTCAATAGTGTTTCCCAACGGATAGGTCTTAAGATGAACATGGACAAAACAAAGATCATGTTTAATGTCCATGTCACACCTATGCCGGTAGTTGTTGGGAACACTAAGCTCGAAGTTGTTGACGAGTATGTTTACCTGGGACAAATAGTCCGACTAGGTAAGTCCAACTTCGACCGAGAGGTCAATCGACGGATTCAACTCGGTTGGGCAGCGTTCGGGAAATTACGGCACATCTTCTCGTCAGGTATACCTCAAAACTTGAAAACGAGACTGTACACCCAGTGCGTGTTGCCAGTGATGACATATGGAACTGAGACGTGGTCCTTCACTGCTGGCCGGATGAGGAAGCTCAAGGTCGCTCAGCGAGCTATGGAGAGGGCTATGCTCGGAGTTTCTCTGCGTGATAAACTCAGAAATGAGGATATCCGCAGTAGAACCAGAGTGACCGACATAGCCCAACGGATTAGTAAGCTGAAGTGGCAATGGGCCGGCCATATAGCTCGAAGAACCGACAACCGATGGGGAAGAAAGGTTCTCGAGTGGCAGCCTCGTACCGGCAGGCGAAGTGTAGGGCGTCCCCCCACTAGATGGAGTGACGACCTGGTAAGATTTGCAGGAAGTCGATGGATGCAGGTGGCTCAGGACCGTGCTTTGTGGCATTCTTTGGGGGAGGCCTATGTTCAGCAGTGGACTTGTGAAGGGCTGTAATGATGATGATGATGAGATTTTTTTGTTTGTATTAAAAAGTCAAAGTTACAGCTATATACTGTCCCACTGCTGGGCACAGGCTTCCTCTCATTTCTGAGAGGGTTTTAGGGTAAGGAAATTTCCGCCGCGCTGCCCCAATGCGTATTGGCGAACTTCACATGTCTTCAAATGTCTCACGATGTTTTCCTTCACCGCCGAGCACGTAGTAAATCAGCACTTAAAATATCAACTAACAATTTTATTGATGCCGGCGGAGATCGAACCCGGATGGCTCACGTACTGTGAAACTTCGGAATCTCAATTAGATTATATATACCCGCTCGCCATGATTTGTTTGTTTTTCTTTATAATAAAATAAAAAATAAATAATAAACGAGCATGCGGCTCACCTGATGGTAAGTGACTACCGCCGCCTATGAACAACCGCAACACCAGGGGAATCGCAGATGCGTTGCCGGCCTTTTAAAAATGAGTAGGCTCTTTTCTTGAAGATCCCTAAGTCGTATCGGTCCGGAAAAACCGCTGGTGGTAAACTATTCCACAAGGAAGTTGTGCGAGGAAGAAAACATCTTCTAAATCGCACAGTAGTGGACCGCCAATCATCCAGATGGTGTAGATGGTATCGGAAGTTCTGCCGCGATGTGCGTTCGTGAAATTTGGCGGCTGGGATTAATCCGAACAATTCCTCAGAGCACTCCCCATGGTAAATGCGAAAGAAAATGCAAAGAGATGCAACATCTCTTCGCAGTGCCAATGAGTCGAGCCGATCGGAAAGGACTCGGTCGTCGACGATTCGAGCCGCTCTGCGCTGCATGCGGTCAAGTGGAAGAAGCTGGCACTGGGGAGCCCCAGCCCAGAGATGTATTTAGGAACTCCACAGGATAGTGTATAGCATCATCCGTATGCACAACAGTGTCCACAGATTTGTAGTGATATTCTTCACCTTCTTTTATTTGTGGCTGATGGCCAAAAATGAGGGAGACCGGTCGCTGGTCGGATCCTAGATCGTCTAGAGTCTCGAACGCCCTGAGGTTGAGGGAAACTCCTTTAACTAGCGCAAAGTCTAGCACGTCGGGAGCGTAGTCGGTGTTGTCGGGATAGTGAGTGACACCGAAGGGAATGTGGACGGTAAGGTCAAGAGACTGCGTGATATCAAGCAGTTTTTTGCCACTATGGGAAGTAGTACGGCAGGTCCATTCAGTATGCTTGGATATAAAATCTCCAAACATACTGACTGAGTTGCCTAAAGATAAGATAGCCTCAAAATCTTTTTTGAGGGGGAGGGTTCCACTGGGGATGTAGCAGGAGGCCATGACGATAGATTGATGTCCATTCATGGCTAGCCTGCATACCGTGGATTCTATGTTGGTAAGCTGCGGAGTAGGGGTGTAAGAGCAATGAAGTGTTTTCTTGTAGTAAATGGCAGTACCGCCGCCTTTGCGGTCAGGTCAACGAAGAAGAGAAAACTATTGAATAGAAAGGCTTTTGATGTCCTGTGGGTTGCATAGGTGAAATAAAATGTTACTGACAGTCTTTTGGTATTTACTCCGAATTACAACGCAACACTATATACATACAGAAGGAGTATAGCACAAGCACAGATAGTTTGCAAGAAAGTATAGAGTACAGAGAAGAAACAGAGAAAGTTCACAATAATAATTTAACACTAAGAACAATAACACGTAAGCGGGCAATTCTAAAGCGGTTAGCATCGAGCGACATGCACTTCGCGTCAGGAGCAGGTTCCGACTGGCGGGAGGTCCGTAAAACTCGGACGATGCGCATGAGTCGAACGAGGTGGCGAAAACAAAAGAACCGGTCTCGGTATGTTTGTTTCCATTTGCGATATACGTCACGACGGCTCGCTGGCTGAGTGTAATAACGTTGTGCACGACGCAAACAAAGTGATACGTCGAACGAAATACTTACTAAATGCTTGTCGTAACCAACGCTAGTTGAACAACCTAGGGGCGGTGGGCGGAGCCATGAGGGTGTTACGATCGTCGGGCCGCGCTTACGGTTCAACAACTAGCGATGGTTGCACACAGCAACGCGGGAAAAGCCTTATTCAGAATATTGAAAAATATAGCTTTGTATTTTAATAAATAGTATTGTAACTATGTAATAACTCTCCCAATAAAGGCATCGAACGAATAGCGAGAGTTAACATAGATTCAGAATGTAGAAATTAATTAATGTAAAATTGCAAAGTAATTATTGTATGTAAATTGTATTCCTTTATATAGTACAATTTAATTTCTTGTATATTAAGCCCTTAGGCACGTAAAATAATGAACAGGGCATGTTATCGTGACGCGGCCGCGGAGCAAATGAGGCTACGCGCACCGCGCCACGACGTTTTATATATATAGTACTGAGGCGGGGGGCAGGTTCCTCAGCCCAAAGTTTCTGAAAAACAAAGTTTAAACTTTTTAGTATGTAGAAAAAATGTTATGTACGTATTAATTTAATAAGTAGTTGAAATAATGTTATATATTTAAGTCTGTTCGTTAGTTTGTAAGAAATCTATCCAATAAAGAAAGGCGCGGGGGTGAGGCAAGGGTCCGCTGGCCAGCAACGGCCAAATCATATATAAGACGGGCCGGCCGGAACGGTCGGCAGTCGCTCTCCAGCCACCGAAAGAAGACAACAGCAAGAAAAAGTAAAAGTTCCTCCTCACCGCCGCTTGCCTCCAGTTTAAGCAAGACCAGCGCGTTTTTATTCATTTTTCGAACGGCGTTACATTATATAAAATTAATGTATAAATAGATATACATAATACTTTATATAAATATTTTAGACAAAAAATGAATACTATTTAATATTATTAAATAAATATATAATGTTATGTATATGTATAATGCTATATAATAAATGTTATAAATATATAATTTTATAAATGTAGGAGAATAGCCTACACACTCCCCCCAGAGACCATCCTATGGGAGATAATAGTCTGGAAACCGAACTCGGCGTCCAGAGCGTGTTACGCGTTGTGTTTCTATGTGTGGTGTTGGTGTGGGAATGATTGGGTTATGTGGTGTGTGTAGACTGTATTTGTCTGTGAGTATGTAGGCCGGTTTGAGTCGGTCTATCGATACAGTGATTTCTTTACCCTTGACCAGAAGCTTAAACACTTTGTTACCGCATGTGAGGACTTTATGTAGACCAGTGTAAGCAGGTTGTAAAGAACTTCGCAAAGCATCCTCGCGAAGAAAAACATAGTCGCAAGAATTTAGATCCTTAAAAACAAGTGTCTTCTCGGTGTTATGCCGAGTTGTTGGTACCGGTTGCAAGGTCTTGGCGATATTGCGGAGTCGTGCAGTGAACTCAGTGATGTCCACATGGCCATCTGTACTGGGTTCAAAGAATTCGCCAGGCAATTGAAGAGGCTCGCCGTATACGAGTTTGCAGATCAGCCTTAAAAGCACTGCGTATGCCAAGTAGGACCCATGACAGTGATTCAGTCCAACCACTGTCAGCATGACACATAATAGCGGCTTTTAACTGTCGATGAAATCGTTCGACTATTCCATTGGACGCAGGATGATAAGCTGTTGTGCGCTTATGTTGAAAGCCAGCAGTTCTTGATAGGTGTCGAAACAGGGCTGATTCAAATTGTCGTTCTCGGTCTGTGACAATTTCCTCAGGACAACCATAGCGAGCGATCCAATGGAATAGCAACGCTTGTGCAACAGTTTCGGCTGCAATGTCGGCTATTGGTACTACCTCAGGCCATCGTGTAAAACGGTCGATTGCGGTGAGGCAGTAGCGGTAGCCTTTTGATAATAGAAGTGGACCTATGAGGTCTATATGGACGTGTCTAAAACGCGTGCGAGGTAAGGTGAAAGTACCCCAAGGTGAGGATACGTGTCGGCTTACCTTGGAACGCTGACAGGCAATACAAGTTTTAGCCCAGTCTCGACAGTCCTTCCTCATACCTGGCCAAACGTAGCGTTCTGCTATGATTGAACATTGGCATTTACTCCAGGATGGCTCAGGGAATAAAGACTGTCAAAGACTTGTTTGCGAAGGGTTTTAGGCACAAATGGTCTACGGATTGGTGTACTTATGTCACAGTACAATGTAGTACTGCAACCAGGAATGTTGTACTGTTCAAAACAGAGTGACGACGAACCAGTTTTTGTAAGCTGGGCAAGTTCTACGTCATTGGTTTGGGACTCAGCTAAGGTGGCGAGATCGATGGGCGCTTCCAGTTCCTCAACGCGACTTAAGGTGTCGGCAACAATATTATCTTTGCCTTATGTCGGTTGTGAACTGGGCTATGAAGTCTAAATGTCTATATTGACGAGGCGAGTAGTTGTCTTTCCTATTATGGAATGCAAAACTGATCGGTTTATGGTCAGTATAGATTGTAAAGTGTCTTGGCTCCACCATAAGACGAAAGTATTTAATAGCTTCATATATAGCTAATAACTCTCTGTCATATGGGGAATACCTCTGCTGAGTTGGTCTTAACCTACGCGAAAAGAACGCAAGTGGTTGCCATGCTCCGCCTTTCAACTGCTGAAGTATAACACCTATAGCCACGTCCGACGCATCTGTTACTAATGCCAATTTGGCTTCGCAGTCTGGATGAGCTAATAAAGCTGCATTAGACAGACTACGTTTGCAGTCTTCAAAAGCTTTGATTTCTTTATCTGTCAAAGTTATTGTTTGGCGACCTTTGACGGCACCAGTCAGGAGGTTGTTAAGAGGCGCTTGTGCTTGGGCGGAATTGGGCAGAAATCGCCTATAAAAATTAATGATACCCAAAAATCTCCTCAACTGACGTACCTCCTTGGGTTGTGGGTACTCCATAATGACCTGTACCTTTTCTTCAAGGGGCTTGGTGCCACTTTCCAAAATACGGTAACCAAGGAAAGTGACTTCGTCAACACCAAAAATACACTTAGAGGTGTTTATAAGCATCCCATATCTCTTGAGTCTGTCAAATACTTCGGGAAGATGTTTCTCGTGTTCCTCTTCGTTTCGTGAAAATATTAGAAAGTCGTCAAGGTAACAGTAACAAAATTCTAAGCCCCTGGTCATCTCATCCACGAATCGTTGGAAGGATTGCGCTGAGTTGCACAAACCGAACGACATGTAAGGGAACAAGTCACAAACGGTGTGGTAATTGCAGTTTTCGGGATGTCGCACTCACTGACAGGTATTTGGTTATAAGCCTTAACCAGATCGATAGTGCTGAAGACCTTACAACCAGCTATACTATGGCATAGCCGTAAGTCTTTATGGTACTCCCGTTGGCTGCACAGAGTTCGTAATTGGTGGCTGCACGATGATCACGAATTAAGGACCTTGGAAAAACACAGAGGTCGCTTCCTGTGTCGACAAAAATTGTGTTTTTGAGGTGCGGTCCGTGACGAATAGGCGACCAGTAGTGTTAGGACAGTCGTCAGTCGCCATTAATTACCGTCCTGTAAGTTTCCCGTCTTAAAATCACACGGTGGCAGGCATTTATGTGCGCGGCCACCATATTTGGCGTGATACCAGCAAAGTGGGATTTTTTTATAACGAGACTGCGCTCTTGATGAAGAACGCCCACGCTGGTTGTGTCTGCTCCTGGAACGGGGCCTCCTATTTAACTGAGTTGTCAGTCTTTGCAGTTACTTACGAAGTTCGGCAACTTCTCTTGTTGCGGGCCTCTTCGTGGAAGTCGATACCATTGACCCAGAGTCGGAACATGAGCACTCCATGACGAGGGACATGGGATAGTCGTACTGCGGGGCATCCGGAGGGGCTGCTAAGAAGGCCACGATGGAGGCCGGGGGGGTTATGCCTGAGGGGCAATGGAGGCTTGGACTGTGGCGAGAACCGTCTCGTCCAGATTAATGCCCAGACCAAGGGAATGGTTCCGGGCGGCGACGATTGACCTAATAAGGTCTTTTGTGGACATCTTGGGGGGAAGGACGTTCTAAGAAACAGTAAGGGCGGGGATCCTTGTTCTCAAAAGAACAGAGGCTTGTTCTGAGAAGAACAAAGAGACGTTTCCAAGAAACAGTATACACAGTAATAATATAACAGTAGGGTAATATTGGGGCTGCTGCATCACTCACATCCGTTCGCGATGCAGTTCGCCCCAATATTACACTAAACAGCTCTACATTTCCATTTTTTTTAACTAAGCAGATGTCTTCTCAATTCTGTATCACTTTTAACTCACAGCGATTTTCTACTTTTTCATTTTTTTAACTAAGCAGATGTCTTCTCAAATCTGTGTCACTCTTTTTAACTCACAGCGATTTACCATACTCTTTCAAACATTTCTTTCAAACAATCTTCTTTCGAGAGCGTTCATTATTTCTTCAGGTTCACACAAAGTGAACAACAATGACTTAACCGCTTCCATAGCGGTGCCCTTTAATGCCCTCCTAAGGCGTGCGACATTCTGCACCCCTGAAAATTGGCTTCTTGTGTCTTCAAACACCGTTTTAAAAATTATCCATTCACCCGGGTCTCCATCGAAGACCGGTAATTTCTGGCGGAAATGAAGCTGGGAAGACTTATCTTTACCCGCTATCTTTATAGCACTCACAATCGTTTCGGTCAATTCTGATACCTCACACGCGTGTGCCTTCTGTGCATTTCCTAGGTTGCGCTCAACCTCCGCCCCTTTGCCGCGTGATCCCTTACACGCTCCCTTATCAGTAATGTCGGGTTGCGTTACACTAACCGGCGCGCTTATTATGGTCTGTTGAACCGAACTCCTTACGAAAGGTTCCACCTGAGTATTCCGCTCTTCATCATCCTCACTCGAGTCGATTTCCTCTTCTCGGTTGAGACGTGCCAACTCCAATTGAGACCTTGGCTAAGGCAGCAGCTGCCTGTGCTCGTTCGAGCTCTGAGCGTTCGAATTTAATCCGCGCTTCTAATTCGGCTTTCAGCCTCGCCGATCGCGATGACATACTACCTCTCTGTGACCCTTTGTCACTAGTGTGCCCGACTACTGTTCTTGACGATGCCGCTTCTTCGGTCCCTTGACCTACTTTTTCGACTATCGTTTCACTCCTGGATATAACGGATTTCTATGCGGTGCTGGTCTGAGTACCACTGGTGTCCGTCCTGTTGCTTGTCGTTGCCACGGACGCCCCTGAGTCCCACGTGCTCGTGGATGTATCGGTGATGGCTCCACTTGAAGGCGTTGCCCCACTCGAAGCAGTGGCTGTGGTCGTTCCAGATGATTCCGCCTCTTTAGAGAGAGCCCTGTCCTTGTCCTGGTTCCATCGCTCCTCTCGGTCTGGTCTTGTGCCTTCTTCATCTTGCAGGAAGGTGATTGTTGGCCTACGGTCCCTAACTGTCCCTACGGTCTCTACGGTCCCTACAGTCCCTACGGTCCCTATGGTCCCTACAATCCCAACCTACAACCCTTCTACACCCCAACCTAATCCCACTACCCCCCCTTTATCTCCCAACCCTACAACTCTACTCCCACCCTAACAGCCCTATCAGCCCTATCAATCCTGGACGGGGGCCTACCGCGGTAAGCCGTCCAGGGATGGAGTCGTGCAGGAATGGAATGGAAGAAAGGTTTAGGAACTGTCCCGCCAAGGAATATGGCGAAACAGTCGAGCTAGTAGTGCAAGCGCAGTCTCGCTCGAGAGAACTGCTCCACCCGAAGGTGTTGTGCCAGAGCCCGACCCTTGGCACCGTTAGGGGGTCAGGATGTATGCTGTACTCGCTGCCCAGTTGCCGGTGACGCCTCGTCCAGGCGCCCTCCTCCGGCCGCGATGTAGTCAGGTGCCCACACGAGCACCCTCGCCTGGCAACAGCAGCGGATAATTCTTCTTTCTTGCAGCCTTGCCTGGCAACAGTGAGTGCGTCCTCTTCTTCCTTGCACTCTTGCCCGGCAACAGTGAGTGCTTCCTCTTCTTTCTTGCACCCTTGCCTGGCAGTAGTGAGCGCTCCCGCCTGGTAAATGAAAACACCAAACGCTCTTGAGCGCTACAGGAAATGACAACACAATCCCCGTAGAGGAAATGCCGAGCCTGATGACCCGACAGGAAATGCCGGACACGGTCGTCCGACGGAAAATGCCGAGCACGCTTGCCCGACAGAAAAAAATGCCAAGCCCTGCTTGGCTACGATGAGCGCCTTCAAAAGGCACCTGCGTCTGGCTGCGATACGTGCCCCATGCAAGCACACGCCCCTAGCCACAATCCTGGTTTTCTTTCTTTCGGTAGCTACCAGTATTCCAGGTCGAACAGCGCCGCCTGCTTCTTGATCCAATCCGGCACTCGAAGGACCAATTGAAAAGGAACAGCGCCACTTAATCCGGCCACGGAGGAGCAATTGAACACGGCGCGTTCAACAGCGGATTCCGTAACCTCCTATAACCACCTACGTTGGGTTCGGGAACAACGTATGTGAACCCCGTGAAGGAGTATCACACAAGGGTGTCGGCACAGGATTCACTTATTTTGCTCATACAGTCAATCTGAAATATTTTTCAAGTGAATTTTACATGAATAACTGAAATTTACAAACATTTAAATTTCCACTTATTTAAACTTTTAATTCTACGGATTAGCGCGCTGCTGTTATCTGCAGCTAAATGAACAACTAACTTTCACACGACACCTCGTTGTCGGTTAAGCAGGTGGCAATTTTAGCACATTTCACTGCTATCCATTGACACAAGATGAGCAATCAATCCCTGCACGACCCCCCTTGTCGGCAAGGTAGTATCCAATAAGAATCTCTTATCAGTTTTTTTTTATTGGATAAGAGTGACAAACGAGCATACAGTCCACCTGATGGTAAGTGGTTGCTGCGGCCCATAGACATCTACATCTATCCTCTATTACAAATCAAAATGTAGATGCGTTGTCACCCGTGAGGACTAAGATGGAATGCCTCATTTCCAGTAAAAAGGGCCTCCGGCCACCTGCACTCACCAAGCGAAACGCAGAGGTAAACCTCTACTTCACGCTGGTTTTCTGTGAGGTCGTGGTACCACCCCGGTTCGAGCCGGCCCATCCGTGCGACAGCAAAAGCTGCCGCGTGGCTCTACCACTGTTAAGTTATCAAAGTTCCTATCAGTTATCATGTTCTTATCAGATAACACAAAGAAAATATTTTAAGAATCAAACATTGAAAATAGACATTTTTATTTTTCATACAAATGTATTCAACTTATATAAGATAATACTTATGCAACAAGTACATTAGTTCCACTTATACACAAAGTGATCATTTCGACCGAGGAACAAATCCTGGTCTCTAACTTTATTTTAATATTTCTTTAAATTAACAATATCATTGAAAAGGTAATTTCAACCGGGGAACTGAACCCGGAAACATAATTTATATCTTAAAAATTCCGTATATGAATTTATTAAGAAAATATTACTTAGAAAACGACGAACTAGTCCGGCCTGGGAATCGAACCCAAGACCTTCAAATTATTAATTCGATATTTCTTTAAGATTCAACTAAGCGTTTTCTTATAAGAATATTATTGCTTGATAATTTGATTTTAGAAGCTATTCGTAATCGGTTAACTAATAAATTAAAATGTTTTTTATAGACGCGTCGCCAACACTCGTGTTTTTGCCATTTTTAACAAAACTAAATCCGCCTTATGTCGATCCTTTAAGTTTGAATATTTGTGATACGCAATGTCGTGTTCTTCACAATATTCGTCTAATTTGTTTATACCTTTGACTCCACGTGATAGTTTTTTGATTAAATTTGTACCAGGACCACAATAATTGTATTTTTTTTTATAGAATAGGGGGCAAACGAGCTTGCGGCTCACCTGATGGTAAGTGACTACCGCCGCCCATGAACAACCGCAACACCAGGGGAATTGCAGATGCGTTGCCGGCCTTTTAGAAAGGTGTAAGCTCTTTAGGTTCCTAAGTCGTATCGGTTCGGAAAATTCGCTGGTGGTAATTGATTCCACAAAGAAGTTGTGCGAGGGAGAAAACTTCTTCTAAATCGCACAGTGGTGGACCGCCAATCATCCAGATGGTAGGGATGGTAACGCGAGTTTTGTCGCGACGTGCGATGGTGAAATTGAGCGGCTGGAATTAGTCCGAACAATTCCTCAGAGCACTCCCCGTGATAGATGCGATAAAATACGCAAAGAGATGCAACATCTCTACGCAGTGCCAGTGTATCGAGCTGATCGGAAAGAACTCGGTCGTCGACGATTCGAATCGCTCTACGCTGGATGCGGTCAAGTGGAAGGAGCTGGCACTGGGGTGCCCCGGCCCAGAGATGAGAACAGTATTCCATGTGGGGCCGAACTTGCGCTTTGTAAAGTTGCAAGCGATGTGCCGGCATGAAATACTGTCTCGCTCTGCTGAGCACGCCAAGCTTTTTAGAGGCCAATTTGGCCTTCCCTTCCAAGTGACCACGAAACTGCACGCTATTCGATATGTCGACGCCAAGGATTCCGATACTGGCTGAGGCAGCAAGGGGAGTGCCTTGAAACTGAGGAGATACGACAAAGGGGTTCTTTTTAGCGGTAAACGCGCAAACTTGTGTCTTCTGGGGATTGAACTGGACTAGATTTAGTCGGCCCCAATCCGAGACTTAAAATAATTAATGTATCCCGGTAAATGTAATTCAAATGGTAAATTATTAATCAACCAATTGAGAAGACTACTCTCACCAATGCACATCATAAGACTGTTTAATCGCGCTTGGGATATTTATTAAATATACAATTTTTTCTTATTTGTTCTTAATGTTAAACACAGTGGTCAGTAAGACTATTACAATATATTTGACTTATCGATCCAACTGTTTTCACTAGAAGACAAACCTAGCCATTTTACTAAAACTTTATTTCCTTTCCTTCTTAAAACTTTTTCGACTAAATATATGTTTGGATTTTTGGTCTTTTGTAGCTCTTGCGCATAAAATCCCCCTAAAATTGGTTGACCTCTAATTGTATCTTCAATTAAGTAAGTGGTTGGAATTGTATTCTGTAATTTTCGAATTTTAAATATTTCTGTCGACCAATTTCGAATGTACCTTAGTATTGGCTTATTCGCACATATCACCTACTTTATACTTACGTTTTACATTATCATTCTTTACCAATCTAAGGTATCTCTGTAGTATTCGTTTTTTACTTTTATTATTAACACTGGCTGGAATTTCACCAATAGTTAGATGATAAGTGTGATTGTATTCGTAAATAACATTATTAAGATTATCGCCTATCCAGTTATAATTACCCTGTAAACTAAATGCTTTATACAATTTATATTTCAAAGTTCGAATAAATCGTTCAACTATGGAAGCCTTCTTTGTTGAAAAGGTGAGTAATGATTAATATTATAAGAATTCATAATTTTTTTAAACTTATCGTTATAAAATTCTGTTCCATTGTCGGTTTGCAGATTAAGGTTTGTTTTAGGAGCTTCATAAAATTATAGCATACGTCCTCTATACTTTTAGTCTTAATTGGAAAAGCCCAAGCGTATTTCGAAAATGTATCAATAACGGTAAGAATAAATCTGAAGTTTTTGTTTTCCTTAGAAACTGATTGCATATCAATTAAGTTTGCTTGCCATAAATCATGTATATCTTTCGTAATAACATTTCTACGTGGGAAATTCACCCTAGCATTTCTATGAATTTCATTTACTACATCGGCTTTACTCATGTTTAAAAAAATGTATTTTATTTTATTCTTATGCTTATAGTTATTAAAAATAATTCGTTTATGCTGCTTGTTACTTAAATAAATACAGACAATTTTTTAGTAATTTGCAACTTGAGCAACTTCACCAATACTGAGTAAAAGCTAGTTATAATTAGTATTTTATTCCTTTATAATGTTAGCTTCTTTTAATTCTTCAATGATCGATAAAATTTCATTATCATGATTTGTATTGCCCGCATCTCTTGAAGCTATTAAACGTTTTAATCTATCAACTAATTCATTTGGATCGTCCCAATATACAATATCAGTGTTGATTTTATATTTCTTAAGCTTAGGTAAATTACCTCCAAGCTTTTCTTCGATTTTTTTTATATTTGATTAAGGTCTCGGAAAATAATGGTTTAATTATTTTTCGATATTTAATTCCCTTATCACCTCTTATTTGACCTCTAGGGTTAAAATCTCTCTTATGAGCGTTAGTATGGTGTAGAATATCTTTGTACATGAGTTTATCAGCGCTTGATACTAAATTTAAATCAGGTTTTTTCTAAGTAGAAGTTCTCTTAACCCGATAATTAAATTGTAAGATTTGTCTCCAATTTTTACGAAACTGTCAATTTAAAAAAAAGTAACTTCTGAATTTCCCATCATGTAAGTTTTCTTTTCTTTTCTTATCCCAAATGGTATATTTAATTTATCATCGTAAATATCATAGATATAATTCCGATCTAATGAAGCCTCTAAATTGTCTTTAATTTCATTTTTTGGGGATTCTACAGAACTCAAGTCAGCATCGCAATAGTTTTGAAATTCCGATTCAAATGATCCAGCAGAACTTGCGCATGATTGCATCGATAAATTATGGTATTGATTTGGTTTTTGCTTATTTACTATGATTTTAAGGGGCTATGTAACAGGTTTTAGCATTTTTTATCTAGGGATAAGTTCAGTTCATGCTCATTATTTTTCATTTTTTTATTTTATTCTTTATGGAGTCCATAGACTTCATTAATTCCATTTTTATTTGCTTTTCCATAATGCTTTACAATTCTTCATTCTATCGCGGCTACAATAAAACTAAATAGTTTTATCTAAAAAACCCCTTTATAATAGTTTACTTTAGGTTAAAAAAATATCAAAATTATTTCTATACCTGTCATTGTTTCACGGTGAGTCTTTGTTAATACAAACAAAATTATACGGCTTACTCCAAACTATATTAAAAATATTTTTAAATTGATTCCATGACATATCAGAACTAACATGTTCTTCATAAATATGTTTTAAGTTCACATCATCTTGTTTAAATATTATAATAAAATTGGCATTGTCTCGTAGCAATTGTTTCGGAATTTTTGAGTAGGTCTGAGGTAAATAAAAGCAATCGATTTGCTTATGCCTGCCCATAGAAAAATAATTACGAATGTTGATTTGATTTTCACAAGCAACATCATCATAAATAAATACAGAATTGTTTAAAGCTTCACTTGGACTTATAACGTCTTTGTTATCATTGAACTCATAAAATGAAATATTAGGTACTCTCTTAATTACTTCTCGTAAAAAAGAAAGATTTTGAAATTTAAGCCCATTCTCATGCAACAATAAACTTATTACAACGTTTGTTTTACCGCAATTAGAGGGACCGCATATTATACAGCGAATGGTATTTGGTATATTAATATTGCTAACGCTTAGCGATATGGGTTGTTTGATCAACTTCATCGTGCTTATTGAATGAGTTACTAACCTACAAACATAGGTATATATTTAAATTTTGCATGAACAATATTAGAGAGAAATGCATGTCACATCATGTCTGTTCTGCTAAATGTTCTCCTATTCTCGTGTTACAAATTTCTTAGTAGATCTATGCTTACTTTGCAAAATAATGCTATTCTGATCTCACAAATCCTGAGTATATTATGCTTATTCTGTAAATTATACAATTCTCATCTTACAACACGCGATCACGTCATTTCGCTACAGTACATTCTATAAAGATCACGTTTGTTTCTTTAGCTGAAATTTGGAGTAAGTACTTTAAATGAAATATTTAAATAATAAAGTAACTTATTCTATTTTCTATTGTAATTCTAACTCTTATAAATGTAATAAAATATGTAACTTATACTCATTTTTGTTTTTTAGAAACATGTCACATACACCATCTTACAGTCCTGTTTTGGATAGCTTAGAAAATATACGTGAGGTAAGTTACTATTTAGTTTTTATTATTTTTAATTGATTTTTCATGGGTAGTAATTTTATATCTGGCTTTCAGAATTTGATAGAAGACTCAAACCCAATTACTAATCCATTTTACTATGCTCAAGATAGGCAAAGCTGGTACGATGAAGTGGCGACAAAGACGTGCGAGCAGAGCCGTCGCGAAAAATCGGAGGAAAAAATAAAAAAGAAAAAAATCAAATCAAATTCTTTGAAAAATACATCATTTATCATGCGAAAGGAAACGGGTGATGTACGTCATTTAATACAAATTATAATACATGATTTAGATGATCGTAATATCGATGAAATAAATACTGAATCTGGAAATGCAGCTGTGAACGTGCAACATCTAGTGACAAGTGCATATGATGACATCATGGATGAGACAGAACATTTAGTTTGTGTGTAGTAAGTGTTAAAATAACTAACCAAATCTAGTATTTAAGTTTGAAATCAATTAATAAAATTTATGTTAATAAAATGTCTATAAATAAATGATTAATTTTTTCGACGTGTATAACTCTGTTGTAAAAGTTAAGTTTTTTTTTTTATAGGAGAGGGGGATACGAGCATGCGGCTCACCTGATGGTAAGTGACTACCGCCGCCCATGAACAACTGCAACACTAGAGAGGGAATTGCAGATGCGTTGCCGGCCTTTTAAAAAGGAGTACGCTCTTTTCTTGAAGGTCCCTAAGTCGTATCGGTCCGGAAAAATCGGTGATGGTAATCGATTCCACAAGGAAGTCGTGCGAGGAAGAAAACATCTTCTAAATCGCACAGTGGTGGACCGCCAATCATCCAGATGGTGTGGATGGTATCGGGAGTTCTGCCGCGATGTGCGTTCATGAAATTTGGCGGCTGGGATTAATCCGAACAATTCCTCAGAGCACTCCCCATGGTAGATGCGAAAGAAAATGCAAAGAGATGCAACATCTCTTCGCAGTGCCAATGAATCGAGCCGATCGGAAAGGGCTCGGTCGTCGACGATTCGAGCCGCTCTGTGCTGGATGCGGTCAAGTGGAAGGAGCTGGTACTGGGGAGCTCCTGCCCAGAGATTGGAACAGTATTCCATGTGAGGCCGAACCTGCGCCTTGTAAAGTTGCAGGCGGTGTGCCGGCATGAAATACTGTCCCGCTCTGCTGAGCACGCCAAGCTTTTTAGAGGCCAATTTGGCCTTCTCTTCCAAGTGACCACGAAACTGCACGTCACTCGATATGTCGACTCCGAGGATACCGATACTGGCTGAGGCAAGAAGGGAAGTGCCTTGAAACTGAGGAGATACGACAAAGGGTTTCTTTTTAGCGGTAAACGCGCAAACTTGTGTCTTCTGAGGATTAAACTGGACTAGATTTAGTCGCCCCCAATCCGAGACTTTTTCCAGCAAAGACTCGACTTCAGACACAAGTTTGTTCCGGTACTCGGTGACGTTTTCCCGAGAAATATTGGCACGGCCGGTGTATAGAGCATCACCAGTGCTGTCATCCGCATAGCAATGAATGTTACCAGTTAGCAACATATCATTGATATGCAGAAGAAACAGCGTTGGTGATAGCACACAGCCTTGTGGAACACCAGCGTTAATAAGCTTGTAGTCAGAACATGCACCGTCTACAACAACCTTGATGCTCCGATCTGCAAGGAAGCTGATGATCCAATTGCACAATTTCTCGGGAAGCCCATAGGAAGGGAGCTTCGAAAGAAGCGCTTTGTGCCAAACCCGATCGAAGGCCTTCGCAATGTCCAGACTAACGGCCAACGCCTCCCCCTTGGACTCTACTGCCTCCGCCCATCTATGGGTCAGGTAGACCAGAAGATCACCAGCTGATCAACCCCGACGAAAACCATATTGGCGGTCACTAATCAGCTGGTGCTCTTCAAGGTACCGGATGAGCTGGCAAGTGTATTTAAATCTATTGTTTTTATGTAATATTTAGTATTTAAGGATCTAATGGGATGATAAATAAAACAAAATATGATTATGATAAAACAGTATTTTTATTTCAACTTACATATAAACGTTTTTATATTTTAGCTAGAGTTATAATTACGATATACTAGTTACAATATAGAACATATTTGCAGTAAAGAATATTCAAAATAAAGTAATTTGTTTTCATTTGCATATTATGTTTATGTTTATAATTTTTTTATAAATTACTTTTACTTTATTTCATCATTTAATTCTTCATTATTTTATATTTCATCATTAGTTAAAATATAATGCTATTTAAAATAAATTGCTATAATGTCCCCAAGGCAAAGTTTTATACATATCGTCACATATTTGTCGCTTATCATCATTGCCACTAAGAATGAGCTTATTTATTTTTTGCGTATAAAATATATGATTCTTAGATCGTATTACGTACATAGTGTCTCTATGGGTTTTCTTAGAATTTAAAATATGTCTACACTTTTCAATAGTTAATATTTTTGTGATGTGCTTTTTCACACCTTTTGCTTTTTTAATTGCGGACTTTAAAGTATTAACGCAGTATAATTTTGCTTTCAATCTTATAAACTCTGTTATAATATCACCACCTAATTCATCTTTTAAATACCCTGGTATTTGTTTATTCGCTTTTAGAATATGGTATATATTATTTTCAAGAAAATTACTTGTATCAAAGTACTTAATATTATCTTTCATATCTTTATAGAAGTCTTCAGTGTAAATTAAATACAAAAGACTATCTGTATCAGTGTAACAAAGTTTGATATTATTATCTTTGTATATTTTCTTCATTACAGAATAATGAAAATTATATAAATGACTTTTTGCAAGTTCCAAAATAGTAAAGTCCACATATATTGGGCGATCCAAGATCACTTTTGTTGGTCGGAGTTGAATGGCTATGAGGCTATCAGAAATAATTGTAAAATTTTTGAAATTAGGCGCACTAACATATTTTTCGGCACCACAGACTTTATTTGTGTTATTAAAATTATCTTTCCATACATTTACTAGCTTAACATCGACTTGTTTTCTTTTGTTCTCTATAGTTTTTCCAAAAATTGAATTATTTTGTTTTTTAAAAAAGTCTCTTTCAAAATCAGATGTAGCATTTTGTCTTAAATATGTATTTAGGGAAATATATGGCTCTAAAAATGCTTTTTGATTGAAAGCTAAAATCCTATGAATCTTCAATAAAACAAGTCCATTTCTTAGGCATTCATGTAAATAACGGTAATAAATAACATATTTATATATATCATAGAGATTCGCAACCAATTTCTTATTACTAATGTTTGATGATATTGGAACTGTTAAATTTTCTGCTGTAAATGGTAAGTCACAATGTTCATAATGAATATTGCGTGGATATTGCATGTTAACTTCGAGTATATATCCTTCATTACTATTAGAACTAATAGACTTAATATCAAAACTTCTTAATTTTTTTTTGTTTTAAAAACCGAAAATTTTTATAAAGTAGTTGCTGCATCATAGCATAACCATACAAATTTACACAATGTAAATAAACTAAGAAAGAATTTGGATCTTCTTCATTAAAATTGGTAAGTATTTGAGCATTGAGATAGCCCTCCTCTTATACCATTTTCTAAAAATTGATAAATTTGTATATCAGTAATTAAATCCAACTCAATACTTGTCAACAATAGCATAGCATCCCAACTTAGTGAAGGTGATGAAACATAAGGACAAGGATCGAGACCATAATAATTCAAACTCATGGATCTAAATTTCTCAAAAACGTCGCAAAGTAGTAAGACATCGCATTTCAGATATAACTCGGTATATTCACCTAAGTTTTTAATACCAAAATTTTGCCACACAGTTAAAGCATGATTATAATCTTCGCTTGTTATAGATTCTGATGTTAATTTATTGTAAAATTTTGATTGCTCTGGTAACTGAGTTTCTTTATACTTTTCCCAAGAATCTACATAGTCATAGCAATATACACCCTTCCTAAGACATAATCGGAATAAATTTTCATTTTTTTTAAAACTTTACCCCCACACTAGGATTTTCTCTTATGTCGTGGAGGCAGTTTACAAACATAAATTGCACAAGAACAAACATCCAGACCCGGAACAATTATTTGTAGGCCATACAAATACTTGTACCGTGCGGGATTCGAACCCGCGGTCCCCAGCGCAACAACTGATTGTTAAGCCACTGCGCCACGGAGCCGTCTGGAAAGAATGTTCGCAAATGTTTTGTCTTCAGGATTTAGAGTTTGTGCTAAATGATCTAAACTTGAACTCAGGAAATCAAAGGAGTCTATAAATTTTAATTGCGCTGACTTCTGCATATCGATTGGAAAAAACTTTGTAAAAGAAATAAATTTCTCTTTGTTTTTTGGAATTAAATTTATACGACCGCATACACTTGCAAGTTCTTCTATAAATAAATGGCAATCATATCCAGAAAGATTATGAAATATAATAGGAATGAAATTACATTTTCTATTGTTTAAATTACAAGAATTATGAGCTGGACCTCTATATTTACCTGTGAAATGGTCATATACTTTGTAATCAGAAGAACAAAACTTTTTTTACAAATATAACACACTTCTGCACTATAAAAGAGCTCTGCTCTTCACTATTAAGCGGATTCATGTCTTTGGAAATATTTAAAATTTTATATTATCTTTCTATATCCTTATAAATTGAATATACAAGTTTTTTTAGGCAATTAGGCCCGCGATAAGAAACAAAGTCATTCAATCGGGATTGGATTCACATCATATATAATAAGCAAAACAAGTAACTTCATGAATTTGAACATTTTCTATATGTTGACTTTTATATTTTATCAGAATATTCTCTAAGTAAACTTTCAAAGTCACCATAAATAATAATTGGAATTCTTTGAGACCTTTCTGGATTAGAAAATCGTAGCTTTGAATTCGTTTCTGGAAGGATAGTTTGCATGCGAGCACAATCATGTGACTCTAACTTTGTCTCAGAATCAAAGTAAAGAAAATATTCATTACATAAATGAACTTTACATTTGTGTTTCGTAAGTTGTTTATGTATGAGCATTTCAAAATGATTAAAACAAAATGAGTCTTGTTTTGTTTATTCAAAAGCAATAAGTTTACATGCATTAACTTTCTTTGTGATGTTTTGTACAAAGGTCCTGTTACTGTATTATTTTTTTCTAATCCATATATATTGACACTTATGTTTGTATTCTGTTTTTCAAAGCGTTTTATATCTTCAAACGTCGGTGGAAAAGACATACCGAACACATTTAAAACTTTAGAATAGTGTGGATAAGATGTAACGCGATTTGGATTACATTTCGCTGGATACATTTGTGCTATGATACACCAAAGGAAGCAGTGACTGTCTGTATTATGAATATTAAGACATGACTTTGTTCTGACAATACTTTTTGGTAATGAAATAAAATGACCAGCTCTTAGCGGATTGTCTTTAGCTATATTTAGTTCTAAATGGTTAATTGACTCAATTGTCCACCCAGATTCAGTTAATTCAAACTCCATGCATTTGCTGATTAAATTCTTCGAGTATTCTTCAAAAAGAAACTTTTAATCAGTACTTTGTAATATAGGCGTATATTTAGTATTGAAGCTTTTTAATGATATTTCATCATTCTTTGGAAGCTTGTACAACACAAATAATTCAAAGTTTACCTTGATTGATTTGTGCGTGGTTAGTAATGTTTTAATTATATTTTTATTGTAGTAATTATATAGCAAACAGTGCTAGAAATACTAGATAAGAATAACTCTGTCATAATTATGTCACTTGAATCTGGATTTACTCTGTAACTTGCAATCCTATTCTTGAAAGCAGTAGCTATTAACTGAACATTGTCAAACTCAGTTCTAAGTAAACAATTAATTTTATGTATATTACTTTTCTTATGTGATGAATGATTTGATGTATATGCATTATAGTCCTGGCAGAATTTCATTTTCAATCATATATCTATTATTGACGTTTAGTGTAATACTGCACAAAACTTGTATATAAATATGTATTTCAATCTTTATTTATATTTGTCTTATAGATTTAAATTCTAATTAACAACTCTAACTTATAATTACCTTGTCTAGATTTTAGGTATTTCAAAATTTAAGTTTCAATCCAGCTTTTTGTTCTTTTAGATTCAGATTTTAGTTTTTAATTTTTTTGTTGCTGTATGGAGAGACACAGTTTTGAAAAAGGAAATGGTATATCGCTTAATAATATAATAAAATGGTTCACAACTTTAAATTATAGTTACTTTATCTAGGTATTTCAAAAAATCTAACTTTCAATATCTGGCTTTTTGTTTTCAGATTCAAATTTTAGTTCTTAGTTTTTCGTTGCTGCAAGGCAAAATAAATGCAATTTTTGAAAATAATTACTTAATTCAGGTATTTTAAAATTAAACTTTCAATATCTGGCTTTTTGTTTTTAGATTAAAATTTCAGTTCTTAGTTTTTCGTTGCTGCAAGGAAAAATAAATGTAATTTTTGAAAATAATTCCTTCATTCAGGTTATTGACGTTTAGTGTAATACTGCCCAAAACTTGTATATAAATATGTATTTCAATCTTTATTTATATTTGTCTTATAGATTTAAATTCTAATAATTACTTTGTCTAGATTCTTAGTATTTCAAAATTTAAATTCCAATTCGGCTTTTTGTTCTTTTAGATTCAGATTTTAGTTTTTTATTTTTCGCTGCTGTAAGGAGAGACACAGTTTTGAAAATAATATGGTATATCGCACAGTAATATAATAAATGATTCACAAATTTAAATTATAATTACTTTATCGTATTTCAAAAAATATAACTTTCAATATCTGGCTTTTTGTTTTAGATTCAAATTTTTAGTTCTTAGTTTTTCGTTGCTGCAAGGAAAAATAAATGCAATTTTTGAAAATAATTATTTCATTCAGGTATTTTAAAATTAAACTTTCAATATCGTGCTTTTTGTTTTTTAGATTCAGATTTTAATTCTTATTTTTTCCTTGCTGTAAGGAAAAGATATACTGCAGCGTGTAGCCCGAAACCACACGTCGCAATAAAAAACTTCTCAGCACCGCCGCTCTAATGGGTTCTTGCAACTCGTTATCTCCCTGTAATTATTTCAAATATTAATGTTAGTATTGTATAGAAAAATAGGCTCATAATATTTATAACTAACAAAATATTATAGTGCTGTTTGATATCGGTAAGAAATAAAATATTGGTGATGGCGATCTCGATGATAATACTCAAAACAAAGTTTTTCATAAGCACTAATTACTCATATGAATAAACTAAAATTGGTTAAATAATTACAAGAATAAAATAAAAACGACAAAGATCCATGACCTGAGTACAAATATTTACCTGTGAAATAAGTATCTGCGTCGACCGGGACTCGAACCCACGGCTTGGCAATTTGGGTTACTGACCAAGACGACAATTGTATTAATAAATTTAAATTGAAATTACCTCTAAATCAAATGCAAACGAAGACCTTTTAAGTCTTTTCGTTTTTATAGACTCAGCATCCGATTCGCTATCTGAATCCAGAACGACTTTCCTCTTCTTAATATTACTATCTCCACAAGACTTTTTCAACGTTTTCTTTTGTTTGGATTTCGTAATGAGAGTACTACCATCATCCGAGTCAAATGGGTTGACAATTTTGTTAGTCAACGTCGCTAACGTCCGCACGCTGTCAATTTTTGTTCGGGAACTCGGAATAATTAGGCGCGGCTTGTAAATATACTGTCTAGGATTTGTGACGCACATTCCTTGCTGGAGAGCTTCCTAGGGACTCATTGTGTCTGACTCAGAATCTGTATAAGTGCATTCGACAATATTAGCTAAAGCGGCCTTTGATATTCTAGAAATAACTGTTGCTACGCGAAGCGGTAGTGACCTTTGATCCGGACACTCCCTGTTCGTTTTGTGTGTTAAGCTTTACAACAAACGAGAGTTAGTGGCTTCTGTAAGTTAGTTAATAGTACGATAGAGTTAATGGACTGTCATCGTGACGAACGAAGAAAGAGACTGTGGACGGCGCCGCGGAAGATTACCTCAATTTGGAGCGGTGCTGACGCCCGGGCTGCTGCCGACGGCAAGGTCTACTAAGGTCAATCACCATCAGTCACACCCAGATACACATCACAGCACCTTATTTACCTTGCACCACACAACCACATGCGACCTGACCGAATCCTGAGGGACCAGTCGCCTTGACCTTGTAAGTAAGCTCCGTTTATATTCTCCCTGTTGAATGGCCGTAGTATAGAACGCTCCCCCTTATTGTTTAGTGTAACTAGAGATTTTCCACTTTGGCCTTAGGAGGCCCGACCTACGTCTGTTCGTTGAAACTCTGCTGAATGG